AATCTCGTAGCCAATAACCTGAATTCTTTAATATATTTTCGAGAACTTCCTGCTCAAAAATCGCATTTTTTAAGAAAATATTGTTCAAGAATATCTAACAGAGAACAGTGTTTTTATACCCTCAGCCATATGGCTACAGAGGGTATATATCATTTGATACGGTCAAAACGTGCCTAGTCGAAATAACGGTTTTAGACCCTAGGTCTCTTTGGACCAAATCCGTTTCAGAACATTTGGAGTCGATCTATCGATGTCCGTCCGTCCGTCCGTCCGTCCGTCCGTCGGTCTGTCTGTCTGGCAGGCTGGTGCGCACGATAACTCTTAAAGGGAGTCTCCAATTTGGTCCAAACTTGGTACATCGTAATATTATTGTCAAACTTAGATCGAGTTCGGCGATGGGCAATATCGGTCCCCTCCTTCTAGTACCTCCCGACAAATGGTCGAAATTTTCAAAAAATACATTTTCTGCACAGAAAGAGAAACGAGAATACGATTTTGCTCCAACTTTGCAAATCCTAATTTTAGCGACAGTGCTACGTGCGAAAATGGACAATATCGGTCCACTCCATCAAGTACCTCCCCCACAAAGCGTCAAAATTGTGAATAATTATAGGTCTTATAAAATGTGATGTGGGTGTCCGACTGTCCTCAAATTCCACACATCCCAATATTTGTATAAACCCAAGATCTGGCGTTAAGATGGAATATATCGATCCACTCCTTGTGGATTTTTGCACTGAAAGAAAAACGATAGTCCGATTTTGCTCCAACTTTGCAAATCCTAATATTTGCGTCAGTGCTAGGTCAGGTGTGAAAATGGACAATATCGGTCCACTCCATGAAGTACCTCCCCCACAAATGGTCAAAATTTTGAATGATTACAACTCTTACAAAATGTAAGAGTTCGATTGTCTTCAAATTTCACACATCGCAATATTTTTATCAACCCAAGGTCTGGTGTTAAGATGGAATATATCGGTCCACTTCTTTTAATACCTCCTCCACAAATGGTCGAAATTTTCAAAAAAAAAATTATTTTTTTTTTTTGCACAGGAAGAGAAACAATAATCCGATTTTGCTCCAACTTTGCATATCCTAATATTTGCGTCAGTGCTAGGTCTGGTGCGAAAATTGACAATATCCGTGCGCTCCTTCTGGTACCTCCCTCACAAAAGCTCAAAATTTTGAATATCCATGAAGCTCATAAAAAGCGAAATCAACATCCGATTCCATTCCAGACATGGTACATCTAAAATATTTCCATCAACACAAGTTCTGTTATGGTAGAGATCGGACCATTTCTTTTACTACCTGCTCCACATAGGGTTCAAGATTTTGAAAAACTAAACGCTCAAAGAAAGCGAAATAAGCTTTCCAATTCTCTTCAAATTTACACATACCAACATTTTTGCAAACATAAGATCTGTTGTGAAGATTCTATACATCTGCGGGCCCCTTTATTAAATTTAAATTTAATTAGCAAAGACACAAGCCAAGGTGATTTTTTCCCCGTTCACAAAGGGTTATTAAAGAGGGAGAGATAGAGAAAGAGGTAGTAGTAAGCCAGAGAAAAATTAAAGGTAAATTATATTATATTATTTTTTATCAAATTTCAAAACTTTCTGTACAAATTTAAAAATGGAGCGGTGTCGAGGCTGGGCACAAACGAAAGGTTTCGAGGAGTACTTAATTGCCCAGCCTCGACACCGCTTCATTTTTAGTTTCTGATCTGTGGACCCTTTTATCTGCAATTGTCCTAAAATTGAGCGATAATTCTTCAGAAAATTTAAAAAATTCCTAAGTCTGAATTTTTTTGGCTATAAATCCACATATTCCGAAAGTACTCCTCGAGACCTTTCATTTGTGCCAAGCCTCGACACCGCTTCATTTTTAAGTTTGTACGGAAAGTTTTGAAATTTGATCAGAACTAATATAACTTAATTTACCTTTAATTTTTCTCTGGTTTACTACTCCCTCTCTCTATCTCTCTCTCTCTTTATTAACCCTCTGTGAACCGGAGAAAAAATCACATTGGTTTGTGTCTTTGCTATTTAAATCTTAATTTATCTTGACGGACATAATAATTTCTTTATAAACTTCCGCAACGAAATATTCTTAAAAATCCCCGTAAGACTATTTTGCTCAAAATCCTCCTGACGGAGAAACATTGTGATTGTATGTCTCACCAAAAATCTTAGGTTATTAAAAATTTTTATTCAAGGTCTTCATTACCAAAATCGTTAATTTAAAAAAAAAAAAAACACCCAACGACCTCAGACCAAGATCGTGATAAAAAATTATAGGATTTCTAACAAATTTTTTTTCAAAAACTTCCTGAGCAAAAATCATTGGAATTAAAATGTATTTAAGGACCATCCATAAGGACAGATCCATGATTTGTGTAGTTGCAAGGCTTTTTAATAAAATTCGTAGAAGGAGGCTATTAAAAAAAATCTTAAATATTTATTATTATTATTTTTTTTTTTTTGAAAATTCTTAAGCGTAGATTCCTAAGAAAATTATATACAAGGACCTTTTAAAAAAAGTGATAGAATTTTTAATTAAATTTTTTTAGACTTTCTGGAAAAAAATCGTAGATATTTTGAAAAATTCATCTAAATCATATAAAAAAAATGTTGTATTGAATTATCGAAAGTCGTAATTTTTTTAAGAAAATGTTTATCAAGGGACCGCATGCCAATAATTATATTTTTTTTAAATATTTCATTCAAGGACCTCTAACCAAAAACTGGATATAATCATGAATTTGAAAACTTTGTAAAAAACCAAATTTAAAAAATAATGATTTTTTTAAGTATATCGTATTCGAAAACTTTGTGGACAATATTTTGATTTTCGTTTAGAAAATTTTATTAAAAAAATATTTAAAAAAACAGTAAAGAAAGTCTTAAAGTCGGACGGGGCCGACTTTATGATACCCTACACCAATTTGCTAATTTAGTAGAGCTCCACATAACAATTAACAGTTTTTATGGGAGAATTCAATCATACACGCGATGATTATAATTATAATTTAAAGTTCAAAGGACTAGATATGCCGAAGCATTTGTATCTTTTAAATTCGGACTTGTATTGCCCATTTGGTGCACAATTAATTTGAAATCGGATAAAGATATATATAGGAGCTATATCCAAATCGGAACCAATTTCAATAAAATTTGGTAAAGATAGTTCTGGGCTGTATTTGATATATTTCCCTGAATATCGTTGTTAAGGAGTGCATATTACGGCTGTGGGTAACAAATATGACAAATCGGATGAACAGTATATATGGGAGCTATAGCTATATCTGAACCGATCTTCACCAAATTTGACGTACTAGCTTCTAGACTCAATTCCGTCATAGGTGCCAAATTCCATCCCATTTGGACAAATATTAGACGTTTGGTGCACCAGAAAAGGTAAATCGGAAGAAGTTATGTATGGGAGCTATATCCAAATCTGAACCGATCTCGATAAAATTTAGCAAATGTATTTCGGAGCTGTATTAGTTTTTTTTTCTTCAAATATTGTTGTTATGGAGTGCATATTACGGCTGCGGAGGACAAAAATAAAAAATCGGATGAACAATATATATGGGAGCTATAGCTATATCTGAACCGATTTCGATGAAATTTGGCATACTTATTTTCATGCCTAATTTGGTTGTAAGTGCAAAATTCCGTAGTATTCGGACTGATATTACACTTTTGGTGTACAATAAAAGGCAAATCGGACGAAGATATATATGGGAGCTATATCTAATTTTTTACCGATTATCTCCAATTTCAATAGGGTTCGTCCTTGGGCCAAACAAATGATTTGTGCAAAATTTCATCGCAATCGGATAATAAATGCGAACTGTACTTTGTTCACAAAAATACATGGACAGACGGACTGTCCGACCGTAAAAAAATCGACTCAAAATGTGATTCTATGCAGATCATCGAAAGGAACTATGGGTCTATCTCGTTTCCTTTGCCTGTTACACAACACAAATGTACAAAGACATAATACCCTGGCCACCTTGTGGTGTAGGGTATAAAGATTAAATTTTTTGATAAAATTGCCCTAAAAGTCAGCACTTTTGTCCAGGATTTTCTTAAAAAATATTATTTATCCATGATTTTTGTTCCGTGGTCATGGAATATTTTTTATACCCTCCACCATACTATGGAGGGTATATTAACTTTTTAATTTCGTTTGTAACTCCTCCTCTGTCTGTCCGTCTGTCTGTTGTAATCACGCTATCTTTCGAACGAATTGAGATAGAAGGCTAAAATTTGGTACACATGTTTATTTTTCCAGTAGGCAGGTTAAGTTCGTAAATGGGCCATGTAGGTCCACGTCTTCGTATAGCCCCCATATAACGGTACCTCCCAATATTCGGTATTTGGATAATTTTATCGTCATTGTTCACCGGAATTGTTTCAAACTACGTATTTAGAATTCGTAATGGGATCTACAGTCTGTGACAGAATATAGTCTGTGCAGGTCCAGGTTTTCGTATAGGCCCCATATATCAGTACCTCCCTATATTCGGTATTTTGACGATTTTACAATACAATACAATTCTCAAAGAAAATGTTTGAGATGTCGTATTTGCAGTTTGTAATGGAAGCTACAGCCTGTGACAGAAATTTGTCAATGCAGGTCCAGGTCTTCGCATAGCTCCGATATAACGGTACCTCCCTATATACGATATTTTGATGATTTTAGCTACATTAGTCACCGTTTATTTAAAGTTTCGAATTTGAATTTGGTAATGGCTTATGACAAACAAAGCCTATGTAGGTCCACGTCGTATAGACACCAATATAACGGCTATGTTCGGTATTTTTAAAATATTAACAGAATTTTTTAAGGATTTTATTTTTTGAAAATTTTCAAATTCGTTCTAAATGGTGGAAGGTATTCAAAGTTCGGCCCGGCCGAACTTACTGCTTTTTTACTTGTTTTATTTAATTCATTAATTAAGCCATCTTTTCCTTTATTTTCAGATTTTTATGCAACTCCATTTGAAGGTAATTTTTATGAGAACAAAAATCTGTTTCAATTCAAAAGATTTGAATTTTTCACAAATTGACCAATTTATAAACCCATTAAAATCATCTGATGTAACTTTTCAAAATATTTACTCAGATTATTCTCAGCTCTGGCTGACTGGTAATATTCTTGAAACTGGTTTTGTGAATTCTTTACAACTTTCTCTTTAGCCCTCTTTAATTGCTTCACCCACGAGCCTTACCAAGTTTCCATAAAAAAGAACTTAAAATTATAAATTTCTTTTAAATATAACTTTGATGCCCTGGCGATAATTAATAGAACATGTCTGATTCCCAGAGTTCCCACCTTTTTATTGACAAATGTAGATTGAGTTCAAATATTGTAAAATGATAAGATTTGGGTGGGGGGAACTACAACTCATTATCGGCGGGGGCACGTTTCAAAAACAAAAGACTGGTTACGAGTATTGTAAAAGATAGCTCCCATTAGGGCAAGAGGAGGAAATTGGAAACTCATAACAAAATTTTCTAATTAAATGGCCCAGAAAATATTACACTTTCCTCGCCGTGACAGGCTCGGAACTTCAAGTTACAACGAAAATAAAATAAAAAAATAAATAAAAACAAAAAAAAAATCGTTTACCAATATTTTTCATACAATTCTCATTGGCTGTATTCTGCTGACACCTTTACTCACCTTTTAAAAGCGAGGAATTTTTCTTTTAGCAATTCTACGCTAATAGCCTACATTCACTTTTAATTCGAGCCGATTTGCCCCAATTATGGCTTAAAGCGGTCGAACAAACAAACAACCAAAACTCACGAGCTGAAAAGCTAAAGGCGGAAATATCAATGAAATGAATAAAAGATTCGAAAAGAAATTCGAAGCCACCAACTGAGCAAAGCGAAGTCAGGCAAATAGATAGACGGACGGAGAGAGACCGTCATACAAATGGTGGAGTAACAAGTCGACAGACAATTATTATTATTAGTCATTACTTGAGTTGGTGTAAATATCACATTTTGTTGCTGGTGTTTTTGTTGTTGTCAACTACCACCAGCCCAGCAGAACCCACAACTTGTGCCAGAAATCATGCCATATTTAATAAATTGTACCGCGACGACGGTGTTTGGTTTGCTTGCCAGCTTTTGTTCTCTTTCAACGTAACCACTTCAATGCAAACAATTGTTGTTGTTGTGCAGGTGTCTTTTGTGGTATCTGTGTTGTGGTCTGGTCGAAGCTGTAATTGATTCTGATGAATTGATTCGTATATAAGCTAGCATTTAAAAATGGAGACAGATGTTCAATGCTTAAATTAGTATCAGAATAGAATAGAAGGGAGCCCTACAGACTTCTATAAAAGACAACTTCAATTTTTTCGACCAGGTTTTCTCATAGAAGTCTTGTGGTTTTTCTAAGAGAAGACATCGAAGTCTTCTATGAGAAAACCTCGAAGTCTTCTTTGAAAAGACCTCGAAGTCTTCTATAGGAGAAGGCCTCGAAGTCTTCTATAAGAGAAGACCTCGAAGTCTTCTATAAGAGAAGACCTCGAAGTCTTCTATAAGAGAAGACCTCTCGATGTTTTCTATGCGAAAAGACTTCTCGAAGTCTTCTAAGCAAGAAGACCTCGAAGTCTTCTAAGCAAGAAGACCTCGAAGTCTTGTAAGCAAGAAGACCTCGAAGTCTTCTATGAGAAGACCTCGAATTCTATGAGAAGACCTCTCGAATTCTTCTATGAGAAGACCTCTCGAAGTCTTCTATAGGAGAAGACCTCCAAGGCTGCTTTGGGAAGACCTCCAAGGCTTCTTTGGGAAGACCTCAAGGGTCTTCTAAGGAGAAGACCTCTCGAAGTCTTCTATAGGAGAAGACCTCTCAAAGTCTTCTATAGGAGAAGATCTCGAAGAATTCTATGGAGAAGGCCTCGAAGTCTGCTATAGGAGAAGACCTCGAAATCTGCTATAGGAGAAGACCTCGAAGTCTTCTATAGGAGAAGACCTCAAAGTCTTCTATAGGAGAAGACCTCTCGAAGTCTTCTATGCGAGAAGACCTCTAGAAGTCTTCTATGCGAGAAGACCTCTCGAAGTCTTCTTTCGAGAATACCTCAAAGTCTTCTATACGAGAAGACCTCTGGAAGTCTTCAATGCGAGAAGACCTCTGGAAGTCTTCCATAGGAGAAGACCTCTCGAAGGCTTCTATAGGAGAAGACCTTGAAGTCTTCTATAGGAGAAGACCTCTCGAAGTCTTCAATGCGAGAAGACCTCTAGAAGTCTTCTATGCGAGAAGACCTCTCGAAGTCTTCTTTCGAGAATACCTCAAAGTCTTCTATAGGAGAAGACCTATCAAAGTCTTCTATACGAGAAGACCTCTGGAAGTCTTCAATGCGAGAAGACCTCTGGAAGTCTTCCATAGGAGAAGACCTCTCGAAGGCTTCTATAGGAGAAGACCTTGAAGTCTTCTATACGAGAAGACCTCGAAGTCTTCTATAGGAGAAGACCTCGAAGTCTTCTATAGGAGAAGACCCCTCGAAGTCTTCTATAGCAGAAGACCTCGAAGTCTTCTATAGCAGAAGACCTCCTGAAGTTTTCTATGAAAAAGAACTTCTGGCGTTCTATAACATCATCTGGTGTTCTATACGATCTTCTGCCGTTCTATAAGATCTTCTGGTGTTCTATAAGAAGACCTTATGGTCCTCCATATGAAGACATTATGGTCCTCTATATGAAGACCTTATGGTCCTCTATATGAAGACCTCCTGATGTTCTATAAGAAGACCTTATGGTCCTCTCTTATAGAAAACCAGAAGGTCTTCTATAAATGGATCTTCTCGTCTTCTATCGGAGAAAACCACCAGGTCTTCTATCGGAGAAGATCACCAGGTCTTCTATCGGAAAATACCACCAGGTCTTCTATCGGAGAATACCACCAGGTCTTCTATTCCTCTTCTGGTCTTCTATAAAAGAAGACCTTCCGGTCTTCTGTAGAAGAAGAAGAACTTTTGGTCTTTTATGGAAGAAGACCTTTTGGACTGCTAAAGAAGAAAACTTTCTGGTCTTCTATAGAAGAAAAAAACCTTCTGACCTTCTGTAGAAGAAGAAGATCTTCTGGTCTTCTGTAGAAGAAGAAGACCCTCTGGTCTTCCATAAGAGAAGACCTTCCAGTCTTCTATTAGGAGAAGACCAACTACTCTACTATAGAAGAAAACCAACTGGTCTTCTGTAGGAGAATCTGTAGGAGATCTTATGGTCTTCTATAGAAGACCTTCTAGTCTTCCAAAGGAGAAGACCAACTCATCCTCCATAGGAGAATACCAAGGGGAGACCAACCGGTCTTCTATAGGAGAAGACCAACTGATCTTCTATAGGAAAAAACCTTCTGATCTGCTACAGAAGAGGACCTTCTAGTCTTCTTTAGAAGAAGAAGACCTTCTGGTCTTCTATACGAGAAAACTAGCTGGGTTTCTATAGGAGAAGACCTTCTGATCTTCTGTAGGAGAAGAAGACCTTCTGCTCTTCTTTAGAAGAAAATTTTGCTGATCTTCTATAGAAGAAGACCTTCTGCTATTCTATCGGAGTAGACCTTCTGAGAAGACTTTCTTGTCTTCTTCCAAAAGAAGACCTACTCGTTTTTTATAAGAGGACTCTCTGGGCTCCCACAAGATGACCCTCTGGTCCATTTATAAAGGACCCTATATTCTTCTATAATAAGATGTACTGGTCTTCTTCTGATCTTCTTTGTGGAGAGCTTTTGGCCTTCTATTTGAAGATAAGAAAACCCTCTAAAGAATCAAATTTTTAAATTCTATTTTTTTTTTTTTTTTTTCTAAAAATTTCGCTCCATCATTTTCAGCTAATCTCTGTCACGCTGTCTTTCCCTCTAAATGTCATTCAAAACTCAAATTCATCGCACAATAAGAGTTACATTCATACCTCCATACGTACATACAGATACACATTACGTTTGTTTAATTTGTTACAATGTGACAAAGTCCGAAGGAAAAAAGTGCATTGACCTGCTGCCATTGCTGGCAGTTGCTGCTGTTTTGTTTTCCAGTTCTTGGCCAAATATTTTCTAATGGAAATTTCTCATTAACAAGTTTTAGTTGCTGCTGCTCGTCACATCTCGGCTTTCTATGGAAAAGCTAGAAAAGTTATTTTTTTTTTTTGTTTTTCGTCTTTTTTTGTTTTCAAAAACTTTATTTAGATTACCGAACATTGCCTAAAGCAGCAGCAACAAAGGCGGCAGCGGCAGCGAGTAGCGAATGAAGCAACGAACTGTCAAACAAACGTACTTGAAAAACCATGGGTTGTGTAATAGGGTGTATCGTATTTTGAAGTGGTCAGAGGATTTTCCGGTGTGGGAGAAAATCAGTCTTCAAAGGGTATCTATACTATGTTCCCCCATAAAAACTCAGGATATCCAGAAACTAAAATTATTCATCTAAAAAAAATCTCCTCCTAAAAATTAGCAATTCGTTGTTAAAATCGAAAAAAATTTGGTCTGTTTCACAAAGGCAAGGTGGTACACATTTTTAGTTCTATTACCGATTTTCCCTTTATGATATCGAAAAAATTTGCAATTGGTGGTTCGGGAAGAGAGCATATGTTTCATAAAAAGTTCCTCGCGTCCTGAAAACGTTTTTATACCCTCCACCTTGGGAAGGAGGGTATATTAACTTTTCCATTTCGTTTGTAACATCCCTAAATATTCGTCGTAGACCCCATAATGTTTATATATTCATAAGCCGATTTAACGATGTCCGGCTCTCTGTCCGTCCATCTGTCTGTTGAAGTCACGATACAGGCCACATTATTTGACGTGGAGCGTCAAAATTTAGCAGAATAATTTGTATTGTGTCTATGATGGTTGGTATTGAAAATGAGATATATCGGTCCACGTTTTGGTATAATCTCCATATAACGGTACCTCCCGATATTCGGTATTTTGATGATTTTTCCCACATTTTATCATGGATTTGTCTAAAAATTGGTATTTGTAGGTCATAGTGGGTCCTAGTTCG